CCCTGCAAGAGGAATTTCTTTGGGACTTTCATTTGCACAGCATCGCTCAGGATCTGACCCAACGGTAGCTTGGCTTGAGGAAGGAAGTCATGATTTGGCTCCACCATGAATAAGAGCAGGTGGATATGTCACATCCCTAATGCTGCATGGACCAAACCGTAGAGTCAGCACACACGCTGTACTCTGGCAGGACGCTTGTTGAAATCGGTAGGAAGGCCATCATTTCTTTCAGGGGGAGCTGCTGGAGCTCAGCCCCTCTGAAAATCCATTTTGTTATTTAGGCGCTTAAATTCAGAGCTAGGTGCCTAACATGAGGCACTGATGTGCAAAGGGCGCGATTCTGCTGCCCTGTCTTCGGTTGAGTAGCACCTTACTACACGAGCAGACTCATTGTTGTCAGTAGGGCCACTCAAGGAGTAAGGTTCTTCTCAACCTGAGTATATGCGGCAGAACTGGGCCCTAATTGTTGGCCATACTGCCAAGCTCCTTACCTAGGTAGACTTCCCATGGACTTCACCAGGAGCATTGTCTGCATAAGTAGTAAAGGCATCAGCCCGGCACACAGCTGAGGCTCAATTCTACTCCCAGTGAAGCTAGAACATCTTCCTTCACTACGAGAGCAAGATCAGATCCTTGCAGCCTGGCAGGAATTAGAACAAACCTGCCTGTCAAGGGGTCCCACTCACCGCAGCTGCACCTTCTTGTGGCTAGCTCTGGGAAGCAGCTCTTCATGCTGGATGTCCCCTTCCACCCGTTACACACACTATGACCCCTCTCTCTGCACGAGACAGGCTGCTCCCTCTTTATGACTCCGCCCTCTGGCCAGGTCACTATGCAGTCCCCTGCCCTTCTGGGGTAACAAAGTCCCACCAGACATAATGTCTGGATACCACCTCAGATGGTCTTCCAGTCCACATCTCCCACCTTCCCAGTGGCTGGTAGGGGAACCCAGGCCTTTCCACTACTCCAGGTCCCAGCTCAGAGACCCTATGACTTTCCATCCATACCCTATTGCTGCTCCCTGGATGCCTTCCTACCCCATATCTGTATCTCCTTGCCAATCTCTGGTTTACCACTAGAGATTCCCCTGTGCCCCATAGCTACTTCACCTTTCTCAGCCTCTTGCTGGACTCCACAGTTCAGGGCAGGACCCCAGGGCTTATTCTTCCCCTTGATCTCCTCCTTGTCCCCAGCCAACTCACTTTCCATCTAGGGAATGACTTCAGACCGCCTTCCTACTACCCCCTTCTACTGCCAGCTTCCTGGTTTTACAGGGCTGGCCCAGCTCCTCCCCAGCTGGGCTCTATTCTCAGTTAACCCTGGTCCTCCCCCTCTCAGGTGAGGCCAGGCGACCTAATTGGCCTCAAGGCTGGTGTGGGATGCACACACCCATCACATTGCTCCTATTCACTTTTTCTTTCTTTCTATCTTATGTTTGAAACTATTGCCTTTACTCCTTCAAAAAACTCTGTAAGGTGTAGTTACTTTTTCCCGGTTCTGGATTTAAAGAAGGGGAAAGCACAGTTAATTTTCCAAACAGCTTGTTATGGTGGTAAGGATGTTTACTCTAAACATCATTAGAAGACTTTGCTTCATAAAGCTTCGCCATGTGTTCTCTATAAAAAACAAATGTCCTTTAGCCACGTTCACGCTGCTAGCTTCCAGTTATGGGTATGTTTGAAAAGCTCTCATTATAAATGCTCTTTGTCCCAACCACACTTCTTGTATCAGTGGTTTTATAATGGCCCTTTTGGACTTATTTAGCTAGAGAACCTTGCAGTCTTTCCTTATTATGCGTCCTTATAGGATGCCCAGTCCCACGATTAGTCAGCGAATGTACCCACATTATTAGCTCCACTTGTCTATAATAGCAACCAAATGTCTTCAGATATTCAAGCACCATTTTATTTTTATTGCCCTGGCAATAAGCCTTTACATGTTAACTTTTGGCCTTGCTGGGTAACCTCTTATTTGAAAGTGACTTAATTGACTTTACCAGGCTTTGACCATTTTTCATTTCTTCCTAAAGGGCTCATTATGAGAGATGGATGTCTATTAATTGGGGATCTCTCTCTCTCTCTCTCTCTCTCTCTCATACACACACATACACCTCCTTTATCCTCCCGCATTGTTCATATTCGCAGTCCATAATCATATTCACGGCTTCGCTAAATATTGATGGTGATGACACAAATAGATATAGGTTTTTCATTTAATAATTAAGTCTTAGGTGTTAAAAGGGAAAGAAAGAAATGTTAAAATAATCAGCCACTTAGGGAAGAGCTGTTAAAAACATCATTGCAAACTAAATGGCCATGATCAGGATTAAGATAATGGACCTGATCCACAACTGTCTTAGTCCAATTTCATGCTGGTGTAGTTAATTTCAATGGAATTAGAGTCTTTAAAATGGATGCAATGCAGTAGTTAATTGGGTCCATGTTTTCTCTTTGCCTTTTGGAAGAGGTGGGCTCATTATCACTTATAAAAGGGGGAAAGAAATGTATTAGATTTGATTGACCTACAATGCTACAATCTTTCGGACAGATAGACAGACAGGTAGTCAGATGTATGTGCTAAAATACAGTGGACCAGCTTCTCAGCTGGAGTACATTGGTGTAGGTCTGTTGATGTCAATGGACCTATCTTGATTCACAGGAGCTGATCCGATAAATGTAAATGTGGTGGCTGGGTTTGTTTAAATTCTATGACCTGTAGTTCATGAAGGGACTTAGAATGCCAAATGTGTAGATGTGTTGTAGTCCTGTTGGTCCCAGGATATTAGAGACAAGATATTACCTCATCCACCTTCTCTCTCTAAAGGTGTGAGTTTGTTTTGTAGCTAAACCCCACTGTTATTCTTCTAACTGCTGAGAAATGATGTGTGGCTTCTTTGTACCCATTTCTGTTTTAAATACCAAAACGGCTATCCCCAAAATGAGAAGTGGGAACACCTATTAGATCATCTTCATTTCCCCACCGATACAGAATCTTTGTCTCTATTCTACTTTTCCTACTGTCTCTTCTAATCTATGTTTAAATGCCCAAGCAATAGGGTTTGTCAATATTTTCCTATGGAGGCTATTCCTCACTCTAATAGAACTCACTGTCAGGAAAAGTTTCCTGCTATTCATCTTAAATGTTCTCTTGCTTCATTTTATCCCAGGCCTTTTATCATCCTCCTCAATAATGCCTGTTTATCTGTCTTCTACAGACTCCCATAGCAATTCCCCTCTGAAGTAAGGAAGTGCTATTTTCCCCATTGTACAGGTGAGACACAGAGAAGCTATGATGCTTGGCCAAGAAACATGTGGGGAGCTGGGACTTAAAGTCAGATCCGTCTACTCCTAGGCCATGTCTACACTACATGTGCTTCTCCCACCGGCATAGCTACCGCCGCTGGTTGGGGGTGGCATAATTATGTCAGGAGAGCATTGGTACAGCTGTGCTGCCGTAAGGTCTCTAGTGTAGACACAGAATGCAAGGGTGGGAGCATTATCTTCCTGCTCCATGCATTTGTACCTCTGTGCGTACAGCTCATAGGTGTGTTTCCCCTTTGTGTTTCTGCAGGCATTTTGCACCACCAACACAAGTCTAAGTTGCTGTCCACGGCCTTTTCCTTCTCTGGGCCTGATCATCAACTTCACTGGGGTTTGGATCAGGTCCCCGTTGAAAATCTGTGTCTTGGGTGATTTTCTGCCAGCTGTATTAACCTACTTTTTTTCTAAATCCAGTTGAATGTATTATTTTCTACCAATAGTTCTACTCTTCCTAGGTCCCCTTCTTTTATTTCTCAGTCCTCACAGTTGTGCACAACTCCTCCCAGCTAGGACGCATCTGCCAGTTTTATTAATGAGCTGCATACTCCTTTCACTAGATCATTAATGAAAATATTAGATAAGACCTGACCAAAGATCCTTGCAAAACCCCACAAGATGCCTCCCACAAACATAATACTTGGCTTACCGTCCTTTAGCTGGCTTTCAATCCACAGGATAGTGTGGGTATTAGGTGACAACAAGAAGGCCCAGCTAAGATCAGGGCCCCCCTTCTGACTGCACACATACATTATTAATTAATAATTATTATTAGAAGTCTTAAATGTTAAAATATCTTAAATAGATATGTGTGTATGGATGGGTGTATATGGATACAGATGTGTGTATGCATATACCAGATGTGTGGGGTGTCTGTGCGTGTGTTAAACACTAGGAAGATGTACATGTGTATCAGACCTCTTGATGTTTAAGACTTAAGGCCTCCGTTCTTGTTCTAGGAGGAGACCTGTCCTAGTTATTCATAGATAGATATGAATGACTGCACATAAAACACACACTCACATATAGATATATCGATATATATTATCGTGTGTGTGTGTAATGTCTAGGACAGGTCTCTGCAAAAGAAAAACAAAGGCATCTCAGTTTGAGTAACTTTCAGAGCAGGGCATTTTTCGAGTTTCCCCCACCACACAAACCCAGCGCTGCTTAGAGACTCTACTAAACCCAGGCGAAAACAAACAGGCATTCTCGCGGGGCGTGGGGGGGGGGGGGAAGAAGAAAGTTCCTATTGAAAAAGAAGTTTCTGGCTATGTTGGTTTTATTGGCCTGGTGGAGCCCTACAGATTAACAACCAGCAGCAGCAACCCACCCCCCCACCCCGGACCTAAGAAATCCAGTAGAAGGTGTGACTTCAAATGTGGTGGTAGGGATAAAGAGAAAGGAAGCCGGAATGTAGGCATGTGTGTGATGTGATTGTTACCAGAAATACCTCGACATCTCCCGGCTGTCCTGGAACTGCGGCCAGTGGTCCCGTGGAGCTCAGAGCTAAGGTGCTGCCCGCGGACGAGAGACACTGTGATACCTTATCAGCAAAACTCATTGGGTCCCCTAGTAGTTACAACCGGAAACGGCGCCAGTGGCCAAATGAAACGGCTGTCAGGGGAAGTGCCGTACTTCTCATCCATGCGCCCTCTGCCCTGGTGCCGACTCCCTGCCCGGCAACAAGGTAATGTTCGCCCGCTTGGGTCCTTGATCCTTTCCAAAGCGAAGGCCGGGGGGGATGGTTACCTGAGTGCTTGGCGATGGGCGAGGGGGTTTCGGCAGGGGATGGACAGAGTGAAATAACCCCAGCTGTAGGGAGAGATGAAAACTTGTGTTTTGTGTAGCCCCCCTAGCGAGGACACTCTGCGCGCCGCTTTCAGTGTGGCGTTTGTGTGTATAGCTGTGTGCCAATGTTTTGTGTGTGTGTGTGTAGCTATATCGATAGGCCTGATTGTGTGCATCTGAATACGTTTTGCGTGGGTGTGGGTGTCTGTGTATTCGTGTGTCGGGAGTGGGTTTATGTATGTTCTCTGGGTGTAGCTGTCTGTGTGCTCACGTGTGTATGTGTATCTGTGTGCAGGGCGAAAGGTGACCTGAGAAAAGCTCCCATATTTGCTTCCCGAATGTATTATTAATGTCTTCAACTAAGCGCTACCGAGCTCCAAAGCTGTGATCCCAGGTCAGGGGGGAGAAAACCAATACATTTATCCTCGCTTGTTTGTATTTAAATGATTCCATTTACAAGGGGGGAACGCAGGATAATCTGCAACAGGTGTTTTGATTTAGGGCTACTCCTTGAAAGACGAAGATCACAAGTTGCGCGCTTTTTTTGTTTCACCCCTGGATGCCTCCCCCCCCCCAAAAAAACACCCACACTCTAATATTGTGAATTGTTTAGCGTCTGAAGGAATTCACCAAGGAAAATCCATTTCCCACTTCATACACAATAAGTGGGATCGGTCATCCGGTGTTGTAATAATTATAATAATAAAACAGGTACCAAAAAAAAAAGATGCTGTTCTATGAAGTGAAGTTACAAACATACCTGCCTGTCTGCGATGGTGTATGGGGTGACTGGGGGGAGGACTGCCTTTCAGGGCTGTTATCCTTCTGAAGATTGAAAGCCATCGTATGAGTGGGGCAAGGGGGGCCCACGAAAGCGGGGGGGGAAATGAAAGCCCTCAATGGGAATTCCAGAGGCTTTGGGATAAGAAGGAGCAGGCTCGGTCTTACAGGCTCGAGGAGCGCAGTTTGCGTGGGCAGACATTTGCTCTCCTAGCCAAACCTTCACGTTCCTGACACACACATTCTTCTTCCTCTGTTGTTCTAAACTCGAGGGCAGCAGGACTGTGGGGTTGGAGTGCTGCAGTGTGTAGCCCCTTGTTGGTCCAGAGTCCTACTATGGAGGGGCAGGTTGGTGGATGTGGGGAAAATGCAGGTAGAACAATGCTGCATTCTGCTGTCTTGGGGAAGCGGTCCATTGCTAATGTCATCTAGATAGAAATTATAGAGAGGCAGCATGTCAGGGCCAATACTTGCACATAAAGCAGAAGTCTCTCGCAGGAATAACATTTGGAGTATACTAGCCAGACAGTGATCAAATCTTTTCAGGGAGGTTTGGATTATATCCATGAAGTTCTATGTTTGCTTCTGTGAATGTCTAATACATATGACAACATGCAAACGTATATTTTCTGAAAATAATGAAAGCCATTATTCATATAACCAGGGGCCCAGGCCTGCGATTCCCACTATGTCAATCAATCAATCAATCAATCAATCAATCAAATCAAATCAGTTGGGAGAAACTATGCCTGAGTGAGGCTTGTAGAACTGGGCCATGCTTTGCACAGGTATATATACATATAAACATATGGGTTCCATTTAATATGAAATGTATGCCACAGATGTATGTAGGCTCAGAGATTAACTTTAAATAATACAAACAATGCTCGCAGATGGTGCTCAATCTAAGACAAAAATAATATAAACCTTCACTTTAGAAAGGCATTGTTGTATTGAATATGGATGGAGAAATGATGTGTGTG